GAAGGGAAATGCTGAGATGCAATAGGCTCTACGTTTTATTTTATTGGAGAGAATAATCTGGAAAAGAAAATAAACGATACTAAAAAAGATCAAACTCTGAAAAACTGAAGTAGCTGGGCAAATAAAATCCATCTGCCTTCACCGTAAAGGATTTGGTACATTTTATAGCAGGACTTCATAACATAACTAACTTGGTACATAGGTCTCAACTTCATTAAGTAGAGACTTAAGATTGTTGACTTAAGAAAAAATACTTTTTCTCTGCAGCTTTAAATAGATGCAATAGGCTCTACGTTTTATTTTATTGGAGAGAATAATCTGGAAAAGAAAATAAATGATACTAAAAAAGATCAAACTCTGAAAAACTGAAGTAGCTGGGCAAATAAAATCCATCTGCCTTCACCGTAAAGGATTTGGTACATTTTATAGCAGGACTTCATAACATAACTAACTTGGTACATAGGTCTCAACTTCATTAAGTAGAGACTTAAGATTGTTGACTTAAAATACTTTTTCTCTGCAGCTTTAAATACAATAGTACTGCTACTTCCAGAAAATTTAGATCTTCATCATTTATAAGTCCTATTCGGCAGGTTAAAGAATTAACTCCCTCTCAATAACTGCTCAGAAAGCAGCCACAGCAGTAAAGCCAAAGAGCCAACTGAACTTACATAGGGTTGCTCTCACCTCTGGCTTGCCAAAGTGTACAGTTAACAGCAAAACTACCCAAGAGGCACGAAGTTCGCCACGGCACAGAGAGGCAGCAGAGGGAGCTCTGCAATACCGACTCCAGTTAGTTTGTCTTAATTGTTTAGGCCCTGACTATGGTTGTGCGCATGTACACAAGAGCAATTTAGATTCCAAAGAAACTGAACTCAAGCTCCAGTTTGTTATAATGCCGAACTGACCCCAAGCGCCGGTGTCCCTTGCCGCAGGCAGCGGTGCCAACCAGCGAGCATCGCACGAGGGGTCCAGTGTCAGGCAGGGGAATTTTTGTCCTTGGATGCTGCTGCTGCCGTTGCCTTTCAGGGGAAGCGAGAAGGCTTCCAGTCAAGGCTGGAGGCTATTCCCGCTTCTCTCCAAATACTGCAGCAGCTAAAGCAGAAGTCCTGTCCTCAGGTTTGTTGACAGAGCAACGGTGCGGTTCGGAGAAGCGCTGAAGTGGGTGGTACACATGGAGGAGACGGATGGGGCTGTCCGTATCGGGTACCTGCCATGGATGTGCTGGCGCTGAGCTTTCCCCGCTCCCGGGTAAGTCGTGACTATGTGCTGAAGTAGGAGCTTACACTCATTTTTAAAACTATCACGTTTCATTTGGCTGTATCTGGTGGTATCTAAGCTCAGTTTTTACAGTGCCCGGCAGCAAGGCGCTGTGCCGGCTGCCTCGCCTGCCTCCTGTCTGCGAAAGGCATCAGCCCAAACCTTCAAAACATCCCAGCGTGAGCCGTCACTCCTGTCCTCTCACCACCCTCTTACATACTCTTGGCCTTGCAATGCTAGCTGTGAAGCTTGCTACCAAAATAAACTTCTGGTTTAAGTAAACTGAAAATTAACTGTCTTTCCACTTGTTTCCTTTCTTTTGTAAGGAGTGTGAATGGGAACAGCCCCCTCCCCGTTGTCTGCCACATCCTCACATACATCCTTCTTCCACACCCTTAAAGCAGTCCTTCCCCTTTCTTCAAGTGAATGTGTGTTTTTAATTTCAGCAACCTCACATCACGCTGGTTTCTTTGACAGCTTCTAAGTAGAGAATTTACTGAGCTATCTACCTGCTTTCCCTTTCCCATGGCTAACACGGGCATTCATTTCCCCGTAGATGCCAGAGAAAACAGTGTGCAAAGCAAATAAGGCTGGCAGACACTTTACTAGGTGCTTCCACAAATCTAACGTTAGATTGACGGAGGCACAAGCTCGGGAGAGCACTGAAGTCCTGTTGTACTGTTATGGTGTGGCACGAGAGTCGCTGCACATCAAACCCAAAGGCAGAGAGCATGCGGGGGGCAAGCAGGAGGAAAACGGAGTAAAAAAAACCCCAAAAAACCCCAGCCTTACCACATTGATGAAGACCATAGTCGCCGGCTTCATGCGGTAGGACACGGGGATGGAGATGAGCCTGCCCAGCGTGATGAAGCCCCAGAAGAGGCTGGGCAGGTAACCGGCCACTTTGTGTCCCACGGAGAGAGGCTCTTCCACCGCGTAGCTGTAGACGAAGCCCGAGTACTCTCCCTGCGGGGAAACCAGAACAGCACGTCACGCTGATGTCATCGCAGCTGTAACTGCAGCCCGTCCCTCAAGGATTCACAGTACGGCGACAGGGCCGGAGAGCCCCCCTAGGGATCGGCTACCAAACCTCAGTGAACCTCGTGCCCATGGGTTTGCAGCCGGAGACAGGCTCCCACCACCAGCAGAACACAGGATTTAAGTCTTGCCCTTTTAGGAGAGCTTAACAGCATTACTAGGTAAAGCGCACGCTAACCTCCTATCTGTAGAGATGCTCTCTTCCCTAGGGACGGTCCTGTCCTTTTGGAGTTGCACTCTCTCAAAACATATCCCATTAAGAACCCGGAGTTGCTCATCCTTGAAGACAGAGGCCCTGGAAAGTTCCCCCATCTGACAGCGGCTTAGTGTCACCCCGCTCATCGTTCGGGACCCAATTTAACGCCCTAGTGAGGCCCAGCAGTGTTTTACCATGAGGGGGCTGAGACAAAACTGTGGAAAGAAAAAGAACAGCAGCTCGCCAGGCAGGAGCGAGCCTTCCTCGCCCAGAGAGAAGCGTTACACACGGCAAACGCGGTGTGACTGTGCCGGCCAGGGACGTGCTGCCAGGCCACCACAGAGACTGCGCCATCCCCACATGCGCTCATCGTGGATTTTGAGGGCTGAGGAGACCCAGCAAACAAAGAGCCACCATTTGTTACGAAATAAAAGGAAGCTGTTCTTGCCTTTTGGCTGAAGTGAGAAGAGACCTCCGCTGTGTACAAGTAGACAACATCACAACTCCCGCGCTAAACCGGCTCGGTTAGTAGCGGTAGCAATCCCGCTGCAACAACACAGAGCCGCGGAGAAGCCCCAAAACCCTCCCAAGAAGCGGGGCACATATCAGCCTGACCGTGATTAGCTTTGAATGAGCTCCTCTGGGACCCCGACTGCGGCACCAGCAGACCCTCAGGTCCAGCCCACTGCAGGCGGAGGACGTGCGCTGGGTTTGGGCTGTTACAAGTGATTTGGAAGGAAGAAAGCCACGTAGCTTTGCTCAGACAAGATCCCTCTATCAGCTGAACTCACCACAATCCCATCAGTCATGAAGAGAACAAGAGCCCCAGTGATGTGGACTGCGAAGTAGGTGTAAGAAGCCCCTCTGAAGTTTTTGCTTTGGCAGCAGCTAAATAAGTCATCATGACCTGGTGAAAAACAATGCAAAGCAAACTTAGCTGGAACGTCCCCCCGGGGCTGGGTGGTTGCCAGCCCACAACGGGGATTTGTTTTGCGCTCAGTTGCACGAAAAGAGATTCATAGAGGACAGCGAACAACGCGGAGCACTCCTATCCTCTGCTGGCACAACCTCCTTCTGTACCTACCTCTAAACTTTCAGAAGGAAGATGGATACGCTCATGGGCTGCTGTGCACAGACCAGGACCCTAGCTCTGCAGGACGCTGGCTGCTTCTCTTTACCGGAGCTGCTTGCGCTCCTCTTCCCATTTAGCAGCAACACCTCGCTGGCCCCGCTCTTACCGTCACTAGAAAGAAGCCCACTCGGCCATAGCGCTCGTGCTCAGAGCCCCTCGTCGGTGGTACCACCACAGAGGAGAGCCCTGCCCGGGATAGCTCACAGTCCTCACATAAATGATATTTACCCAAACAAGCCAACTTTGGGAAAGAGAGTGATAAACACACAGCTAGTGTCGCCTCCGCTGGGAGCCACAGCCTGCCAAAGCCGGGGGTCAGGACCCCGGGAATTCCCGACTGGCCCATCCTCACGCTCGTATCGCCCCGCTCTGCGCCGTGCAAAGGGAACAGCACCTGCGCAGGGGAGAGAGTCGCTCCCGCACGCCAAGGATGAAATCCTCACTGCTTCTACGGGGAAGGAGGATTTTGCCAGCAGAGACGTGTCTGTCAAAGATCTCAGCAGTCGGCATACAGCCTTCCTGCTTCTCTAAGGATTAACCTCAACCGCATTTAAGAGGAAGATGGAGATCTGAAGAACATGAAGCTCCAATGGGTTGTACGAAAACGGGCAGCAGGACTGAGGAAAGAAACTGTCAGTGTCTCAGGTAAGGGAAATGCTATCAGATGAGCATAACCTTATCAGACACTGGAGAACCCACTCCATTAGGGACACCGATGACCTTCCCATGCAGTACCTCACCCCATCTCTAACTGCCTCCACCTTCAAGTATTCCCTAAAGTTTCCTTTTATTGTTCAGGTAAAGCCACCTCTTCTGCAGTAACACTAAATGCTCCCCGGTAACCCTAAAATACGGTTACTTCTGAGATTCACTATTTAGCTGAAGAATTTACTTTGATATATTTCTCTTGGGTAGCACAGAACAATATTTCTATTGTCCCCAAAACAGGGTGTAGCCACAAGTTCAAGAGCAAGCTATTGCTGGAGTTTAACTTTTGCCCTCAGACAAGGGCGCTGTCCTTATTCCCTTGGCATTTATAAAAATCAGCGGTCTGCGGCATGATGAACACTTTTAAACTGAACAGTCAGCGGAGCCAGCTCAAAACCTGACCCAAAACCAGAAGGAAACAAAGGGGCACAACCTTCACGTGTGCTTAAAGGACTTGGGAGCCCGGGTTTAGTTTTAGGGCAGCTTGGAGAAAAGCAGCCTGGAGACCCGAGGGCGGGATACCAGTCTCTGTTCAGGGGGGGTCACGGTCCCATCTAATTCGAGGGCAATTTGATGCCAAATTATCTGTTTTGATTGTTTGAGTACTTCTGGATTACATTCTCATGTATGTTTTGGAAAGTTTCCTCCTTAGACAACAGTGATGGATCTCATTTGTTACACTCAACCGAGACACTCAGAACTACGGCTTTTTCTCCCCCCGTTCCTCCGAACCCGTGAGAGAGGTGCCTCCAGCTCACCTCCTGCTGCGGGGGGTCTCTGCGCGGCGGTGGAGAGATCGTCCTTCTCCCCGGGCCGCGTTTCCATCGCCAGCTCGTCGGCCGACAGCAGCGGGTGGCTGCTGCTGTTGAAGCACGGCACCATCCGCTCCTTGTAGAGCAAGAAAAACACCGCGATGGGGACCGGCAGCTGGGGAGGAACAGAGAGGGGCAGGTAAGCACGACAAGCCTCACACAACACACAGCCCGGTTCCCCAGTCGCAACGGCCTTTTAAGAAGCTGCACTCAGCATCTGCAGGAGATGTGTCGGAATTAACATCCAAGAGCAAGGACAGAGGCTGGGAACGGAGTAAGGAGCCACCGCAGGAGGGACGGAGCCTTGTTAGGAGAGCTGGTAGAGAGGAAAAAAACCCGAGTTGAGAGCAAAGACGGGAGGATGATCTGCAGCATGGCTGGGGCATCTCCTGCCGGTCCCTCTGGGATGCAGGTGGGCTGGGACCATTCACCTAGGATGGGGAACCGCGACGCTGGAACAGAAAGCACCTAAATACAAACCTCATGAAGCCCTTCAAAACCAAAATGTTCTGGTTTCCAAGCATCTGGCCACTCCTGCCCAAACAATAATAATAATAAAAAGGTAGCTTTTGTCTCCGGAGAGCAGAACTGCTTTAACGGGAGACCTTCTGTGGCTGAAATTCTTTGTGAGAGAAGAGCAAGCTGCCCTAAGACCTCTTTGCCCATCACCAGCTATTAGCAGAGGTTGCTCAGCATCTCGTAAGAGATGAGCTCGCGGTTCCCAGGCCAACGATCGCAGCACTACAGCCGAGCTGCTTCCAACAGCCCCTCGGTACAGCCTCTGCGGAGGGACCGGGGAGCAAAGAGCCTCTGGCCACTGCCCTCTCTGCCTTAGAGCCCCCGGCACGTCCAGGGATGCTGCTGCGCAGGCTCCCAGCACGCACCAGTCCCACCAGCACTGTTCCCTGCAGCCAGGGCTTTCCACCTGGTGCTAACACACACAGGGACCGTGGGCTTGTACCTGCCCGCCGGATCCATCATCCGGCAGCCGCAGCATCAGCCCCCCGGGCATCGTCGCTGCCGCGTGCCTGGGGACGAGCCCGCTCCCGGCGCACACCCACGACTCGGTGGTGCCTCCAAACCCAGGGAGACTTGCTCTCTCTCTCTCTCTCTCTTTTTTTTTTTTTATTTTATTTTATTTTGGAGAGAAAACAGAGGGAAGCAAACGAAGCTGGGTCTGCCCCTCGCCAGCGCTCCCTTCTCCTCCCACCACAACCAAGCGGTGTTTATTCTGCAACAAACTGGGGGAGAAAGCCAGGAAATCCTAAGTGACAGCTCACTCTCCAGCCGCCCAGCGCTTGTTTTCTACATGGCTGTGAGCAAGTGTGAGCTCTAGCTCCAAATTTCCTGCCTTTTGTTGGCTCGTGGCATGATTTAAATGTATGGAGAATCCCCCCCCCCCCCCCCTCCTCCTGCCTCTCTTGCCTGAATTCATTTAGAGGACTTCATTGTTCTGGGAACAATGGGAATAGGAACAGTTAGTTCAGTCCCATGGAAGAAAAACGCATTTGCTTGATAGTTCTAATCCTTCCGGAGGTCAGGACCAGATTTTATTCTTCTAAATTGCAGATTTTGCAAAAAAAATACCCACACAGAGGGACTGGCCATACAGATAAAGTCTCTGGGCACTTCCAGCCCTAAGGAGCACTCGGTGGTGCCTCTGCAGAAGAGGATCCCAGCTCTGAACTCCCCCAAATTCCCAGTCAAACCATCGGCATATCCCTGCTCCCCAGATCCTCACCTCTAAATCAGGCAAGTCCCTTTTCCTTTATCCAGACTGCACTGTCTTGACGCCGGCAGCGCCTCGGGCGCGCGAGGGCTCTGACCCCATCAGCCAGGAGCTGCTCGCCAGCACTGGCCGTTTCTGGTAGGAAATACCCAAAAGCCACGGACTCAAGCGCATCCCTCCCCCGCCGGGCTGCCACCGCACCAAAACAAGCTCAGGAAAGTGGGAAAAAAGCAAAGGATCGAGCTCAGGAGAAAGCAGGTTCCCAGGGCTCCATCCTGAGCCAGCCCTGTGTCCTGCGCACCGGCTGGCAAATCCCCTGGGGGACAGTCACCCGTGGCCACCTGGCCTGCAGGAGGGGCTGGCCATAAATCCGGGGTGCATACAGGGGACGGAGCACCCGTGAAAAGCAGTTCAGCTGTTACACGGGCAGATGGAGAGGAGCAAACAGAGCCGAACACCAGAGCTCTGCCAGGGCCCGTTTCACCAAGCAAAGGGGCAAATCCATCCCGGAGGAGCAGCCTGCCCCGACCACGGGACAAGGACAGCTCGAGGACTGTCCCTTCCACTGCCCGCACGAGCACGGCCGCTGCCACAAGCCGCCGGGCGGGCGCTGAGCCCCTCTCCCCATCCGCAGCTCCCACGTGCTGGAGACGTCGGGTGTGATGATGAGCCTCACTGGTCCCTGGAGCCAGGACACACGCCAGGACACACAGGGGTAGAGTCACCGTGCTTGTGACAGGAGCTTACTACTCAGCTCCTAAAGGAGCTTTGGTTTCCTTGTGGCCAACACCTCAGCTGCCCGAGCTGCCCGGCACAAGCCAAAGGGCTACCAAAGCCTTCCCCGCCCAGGCGGAGCCCAAACAGCGAGAACCGGGGACGAGCTGCCACCACAGCCCCTGAAATAAGGACACTGGTCCTCAAAGCACTGTCCGGCCCCGCACCATCCCCAAGCACACCAAACCGGACACCTCCAGCCCCATCTCCGACCAGCCCTCCCTCTTAAGCAGGCAGAGATTTTTTTTTGGCGTGATAAAGGTTTGCTCACGGGTTTTCTTCCCAGGGGAACTCCGCTTCGTCTTTTCGGGCAGATGGCTTTTCTTTTTTCCCCAGGGGGAAGAGGGACATCCGAGCATCCCGCCCGGAGCCTGCACGGGCTGAAGGGCAAAGCGGGCAGCAGGAGCCCCACTGCCTGGACCCCGCGCTCCAGCTCCGCTCACCAAAGGGACAGGGATGCTTTCCTCCCCCCTGGCAGCTTTTAACCATTATTATAAACTCAACGAGTTGCTGCATCACGCAGTTAAGCGTGGGTATAATCCAGGCTCCTTCCCTCCAGTTTCTATTTCGGTCTGTCCCCCCCAGGAGCACGGGACCGTTCCCTCCTATTGTATCCAGGCTGCATTTAAGCAACCTAAGCACAATGGAGTGTCCCACACTTCCCCTGGGAAACCACCTTCCGGACAAACACATCCCTCTCGGAGCAACATTTTCCTGATTTTCAGCCCCTTGGAACAGGCTGGATGATGAAATTTCCGTTCTGTGGGAAACTGAATTTTAAAGTATGTTTTTTGTTCCAAATCTGGCTGAAAAGCCAAAAATTTTCTCTTCGAATGAAAAATTTTGGCCGGGAGTCATCCAAGCAGTTCATTTTGATAATGTTGAACCACTTAATTTTACTAAAGCAAAAACATTTTGCTTCAATAACATCGAAGCAACTATTCTGTCAGCTTCACACGTTGCATTTATGCCAAAGTCAAATTGAGACATTTCCACTTTAAACAATGCAAGAAATTGAAATGAATCATTTCAGCTTGTGTCTTGTCAGAATACACACAGCCCTGTGAAAACTGGGATGGAAATGTGGGGGTTTTTTTACCATTTTATAACAAAGTTGCTGGTCCTGGTTTCCATTTCTATAGCTTACTCATCTCATCCGCTTCCCCGGGGTTTTAAATACAGATTATCATCATCTTTCTCCGATGTTTACACCTTAAAAAAAAAAAGGGTCAGCAGTTTTGGAGCTGAGCTACTCTCAGCATCCCCAGCCAGCGGGTTGGGTTATTTCGTTTAAACAAGGAATGAAGCCAGCTCCCTCGGCGAGCCTTTGGGAAAGACAATAACAGCTCGCCTTTGGCAAGGGGACATGCTCACGAGCTGCCTGTGCAGCGTACGTCCCGCTCCCCGCTCCTCTTCTGTTTGCCACCTAACCCGCACCCCAAAACCCAGTGGTCTCCCAGCAACCCCGGGACTCCCGGCTGTGGTCCTGGTGATGCTCCGCAGCGCGTGCGCACACGTGCGAACCTCCCACCCCTACAAACGGCAGCGGAACATGCAGCGATGCACGAGGCCAGCACACGACCTGCCCTGCATCGGCTGCTGGGCACAGCGGGACTCAGCCCCATCCTGCTCCTAAAAACGTCCGTGGGACACTGTGAGGAGCAGAGAGGGGTCTGGCAACTGCCCTCCAGACATCAGACACATCGTCGTATTCAAAGCAGATATTAAACGCTGCCTTCAAAACTGAATTAGTCTGCTCAGGATTCACTGACAAAATAGATAATGCCGCGGTGTAATTAAAAGCCCATTTCCCACGGCACACGCAGAGTCGGAGGTAATTAAAGCTGGCTTCTCCTCCCAGGCAGGGAGCATTCTTTTTGGTACTTCTGCAAAGAAACTCATTACAGCACCTGCCTGCTCTTCTCATCACATCAGTGAGCTGCGCGGGCCTCGCTCTAATGAAACCCCTGGATTAGGTGCCCTGGGGGGTGTTTTAGTTCTTCAGCAAATGGGAAGACCAAGAGCACACAGCAAGCTGTCCCCTTTGCCTTAGTGCAGAGGCAGCGGTGGAAGACCAAGGGCGGCTCGTTGGCCTGGGACAGGCAGAAGGAGCACCAGCGCATCCTTATGCTCTGGCAGAAGGGCAATGGCGAAACTTCACCGGGGCCGCAGGGAGAGGTCCTTCGGGCAGGACCACCCTTCACTTCTGCTACGGGACGTCTCCAGGTGGGCAAAACGGGCACCAGCTTGGCAGTCCCTGCCCCGGCACGCTCGTTATAAACAGACAACAGGGCACCTTACGGCAGGGGCTACGCGGGCTCTGCTCTGCTCTGCTCGCGGGGGACCCCGGGACCCCACCAACAGGGGGTCCCACGCACAAAGTATAACCGGGCACTCGGCAGGTTTGGAGCGGAGCCGCCCTCAGCATCACTCCCGGCACCGACAGCACCGCTGCTGCAACAACGCGCTCCGCTCTTACCGCTCCAGATCGACACGGACAGTTACACTCGCGCTCGCAGGGCTGCTGCCGCCCGGGAAATGCCAGCGGCGGCTCAGCCGGCTCTGCTGCAGAGGGACCAGGACGGGCACGAGGATGGCCACAGCCCAGCATGGCTGTGCGAGGGAGCAGCTGGGCTTAACCGCGTGGGATCTGGGTATTAACTGGGGGGGGGGGGTGAAGGAAAAG